TGCCGTCTGTGTCCGCTGCGCGAATCTTCTCTCGCTTGCATTCTGCATCAACTTTTTGTGATGACTAGAAGTGATGGGAAATCTCTCTGAGGGCTTGTTCACACGACGTCCAGATTGTGTCCGGACCAGAACCATGCGCTCCTGCACCCAAAATGCATCCCAATGTATCCCTACGTGTTTTATTGGCTACAGTTCTCACGTGCGCAGTCCGTTACAGTCCGGACAGAGAAAATACTACATGTCACATTTTGTCCGGTACGGAAACGCACGGACGTGCCAAACACAATGAAAACGCGCCAAAAATGCACTGCACTGCAGCTAACATACTGACAGCCCCACTCCAACCAAAAAAAACACCATTTTTTTTTTTTTTTTTTTTTAAACTGGAACGCGGTAAAAACGTGTCAATAATGCACTGCACGCATAGCACTGCGTCTGCAGATCTACACCAGATCTGGACCGGAAAATCGTGTGAACAAGCCCTAAAGGGGGTATAGACAAAAATTTAAAAAAATAAAAAACATTTTAGTAGAGAGGAAGGCTGGGCATGTTTGATGTTTTATTGCTATCTGTGCCTTTCTGTCCTGGGGACCACCTGCACCTCCCATTTCTTTCATTCAAAAAACGTTTCCCTCTCTAGTGCTAGGACTGAAATGTCCCCAAAAGCGACAGAAAGCAATAAAAGAACATTATATATTTGTATTTTTTATTTTTTTGTGTCTTGGTAAGAAGGCTTGTCTGCAATCCTTTTCCCATCTAAAACTTAAAAAATAAAAAAAACTTTTGGCTTCCCTTAAATTGTCATCCCACATTCTTGATTTTACTTTACTGATCAGGCTTCTTTTCCACAGGGTGGATCACCTCTACACGTTTTTTGTCCAATGGTCTCCAGAGGTGTATGGGAAAGATGCAAAAGAGCAAGGCTTTGTGGTGGTGGAAAAAGATGAACTGGATATGATTGACAACTTTTTCAGTGAACCCTGTACCAAAAGCTGGGAGGTGAGTTCATTTGTATACATAAGAAATCATTGTAACTTCTCACATAAGAAATAATGCATTCTCCAGTGCATATTTGGATATGATGTTAATTCAGAGAGGTGCGCAGAACTGGCTTTTATAGCTAATAAGCACAATAGAAGGGTGGTCATAATAATCTGGCCACTCAGTGTATTCCCTGCATTGGGAGAAGCCAATGCACAAGTTAGCCATGCAGAAATATGGAGGCAGGGGTGGCAGGAGTGGCCAAGCACAAGGTTGTCCTGCTTTAGGGTGGGCAGACCAGGCACACTTTTAAAACAGAACTCCCACCAAAAATAAAAATGCTTCAGTTATAAGATCGTTTGACTGAGAATTACTGTACTTAAATGAACTTTATAACTTTTCTTTTTAAATGTTTTCCTATATACACTAGACTAGGAAATTTGAGAAAAACTAATTTAATGTAATTCTAATTAGTGTGCACCCGTGTGTTTTATCTCTTCATTTAATTGTCCTGTGAACCTTGGGGGGCAGTGGGGTTTGCCCGATGCTCTACACAAGTTAAAATGTTTAAAAATCCTAACAATGGGCATCTGTTATCTGCTTCTTTTCAGTCTGGTAAATAAACTTTATGCATCATTATGTTATACCTGTTCAATAAGCACAAAAAAAGTATGTTTATTTCGAGAAGTCAAGTGAGCTCCCAAGTTCCTGTGCGCTCTGCAGTGTTATTTTTATGAACTATAGGACACCTCCCCAGTGTTACAGGAATGAGGAGGAAGTGTTCCTAGGATAGAAATTATGTAACTTGTAGTATCTTCTAGGTACAAAAAAAAAGAAAACCAATGTAGCCACTACATCTAAGGACCGGTGAACTGCACTGTATTCATTTTTTGTTTCTTGGATTGCACTTTTCTTTTCCAGATACACTTTAAGGGTTCTTTTTATTTTAATATCAATTCACAGTGGGTACATTTCACTATGCTCCAGGGCATCGGTGGTTGTAAAAAATGCCTTGGCATCAATGGAAGTAAAAATTGCCCAAGCACATGTGATCAGTAGGAGTAAAAAATACCCCAAAATCCGTGTGAATAACACATTTTCTGGTGTCAGTAAGGAAGAGTTAAAACCTTTTGTCAGGTTTTCATTGTTGTTTTATGAGCTTTTTGAGGAGATTGACCCTTACTATCTGCTCTAGTCACTAATGTCACTGGAACAGAAAATCCAGGGAAATCCATACTGTCCTCCAGAGGACAGTTCTGCTGCACTGGGTGAACCCAGCGTGCGCTCCACTAGTGGGGGAGTTTTGCTCCGTACCTTCCAAAGGTGCTGGCATCTGCAACCTGGAATCCTGTTATCCTCTGTTCATAGAGTCCTACTTATCGTTGGTGATCTCCCTAGCTCTGCCGGGTGGGGCTTAGTTCCCTGCCTTGTCGACCAGGGTCTTTACTACAGTCACGCAGAACTTTGTGGCCCAATACACCCAGTTGCTGGTTGGCTCTACCCACAGAGAATTGAAGCAGATTCTGAGTCATTGGTGGCAGTGCCTTTTATATGATTCTGTGTTGCTGCAATCTCTATGTTATTGAGGACTCGCAGTCTTCTGCTATGTGAATCTATCATTGGCCACCTTAACAGGGAAACCACTAGGGTAGTAGAGGGCATTCCTACATTTAAAAACCCTACTGATCAGTGGTTGGAAACCCTCTTTAAAGCTCAGTTCTTAATGGTGGGCCATGCCCTTCACCCCATCAAGGATGTCGCTGGAAGCAGAGAAAGGTTTGCTAAGTCTCCTCCATTTTAATTATTTATTCCTGGAGTATGTATGTCTAGGGCTCCCTAACCTGTTCTCCTGACCACCACCCACAAAGTCTGTGAAAGGATGCCTGCTAATCCCTCAGAGAAGTCTTCATCAACATGACTGTTTGCTCCCCACATTGTGCGGGGTCATTTGTTAGTCTTTCTAAACTCCTAGGTAGTTTGCCTTCCAGGTGCTTAGGTGTAGTGCGTGATATCCAGGTCTAAACCTTTGCCTTCAGCTGTCTCTGCAGCAACTCAAATTCTCTGCATAGATCATCAGACCCAGCCCTGCCCATTTGGGGGTCTAATTGACCAAGGTGTTATTGTCTAAGCTCCTGTGTCAGATTCGTTTCTGGAGTTGTATTCCAACCTGGTCAGTTCTCGCTCTCGCTCATCAGGTAGTTCCGGGCTTGGTGCATTAGCCTTCCATTGTAGGACCTGGGAAAATCAAATCTTCTCTTTCCACTTAGATCAATTTGGGCAGTGCTGGTGTACTTTAAGAATACTAGTGGTATTGGAGATCTTGCTGTGACGAAAGATAGTACTGATTTCTGAACTGGGTAGAACTTCATATTCAAGTCCTGTTAGCTGTGCTCATCTGAGGTGCAGTCAATTGGAAGACAAATAGTTACAACTGGATATGAGGCAAAGAGCCATACTTGACTACATTCTAGGACCTGCATTGCAGGTGGAGGATGCTGGGTGTAAACTCCCATGATATCCTGTTTCAACTGCATTCTGAACAGGTTTGTCTCCAGGTGCAGGAATCCTCTAGTACATGGCATATATACATCAGGATCTAGACCTTTTCTCCACTAACACTTCTTTCTCCTCCACTTTGCGGACTGGGAAGGGAGGGCTTTTGGCAATTTCCCTTGCTCCAGTTTGACCCAGGCAAATATTCTTGGCCAACCTGGTAAAGCTCTAAAGGTTGCACTGTGGAATCTAACACATTTCTGGATTTGGGAAGTAAGTGGCATCGCTACATCTGTGACTCTTGTGCTCAAGGATAGGTAGGATATTCGGCAAGGTTTATCATTGGTGCTTGGCCTCAGGTGTTTCCTCTTTTTGCAGATAAGTGGGACCTAAGCTTGGCTCTCAACGCTATCAAGTCTGCATTGTTCCCTCCTTTCTTGGATAATCAGGGGGTAGAATGTTAACCTTCTTAACTTCTATGGAGAGTTCTCATGTTCCTTTTAGTCTTTCTCCTATTTGACAACATCAAGTCAAAACTGGTTCTCTGTGCAGTTTCAGAAACAACTATTGGGGCCTTGGAGATTAATCTACTCTAATTTACCCTTAAGGGGTTCTTTCATGGTAGTCCTCACTTTTTTTTTTTGTTACCACATGATTGTTGCCTTATCTGGTGCCATCTGTGTGGTCCTTCAGACAGTTCATGAGCTGCAGACAGTCCCCCGTGTTTTCAAATGTTGGGCCTGTTATTTGCTTATCTGTTTATTATCTGTATCCCTCAATAGATGAAAAGAAAAATAGGATTTTTCTACTCGCCGTAAAATCCCTTTCTTAGTCAATTGTGTGATGCAGATCCTATCCCTCTGTGTTCATGCTCTTATTCCTGCTTGGATACAAAACTGAGGCATACTGGTAGTGGAAGGGACTATCCTCGGCTGGCCTACAGGTTATTTTTCTTTTTGCCAGTGTCCGATACTCCCGTAGGCAGCAGTATAGCCCCAAGGTAAAAGATTTCCTGCATCCCTCAAAGTCCAAGAAAAGTATTTTATGTCTTATTTATTTTTTTAAGATGGCAAGTATTTTAGGATGTTAATATGTGGGTGAAAAGCCAGTTTTATTATCCTTTTATGCGTTGGTGCTGACCTATAGTATGCAATACATGCCAAATACTGACTGTACTGTGACCACATCCTCACTGGCAAGAAATTATCTGTGAACTCATCCATATATGTTACCATGTATACGCATAAAATATACGACTATGGAAATAAACTAAAGGATTAGAGAGAAAAAAAATAGTTTGAGGTTATGATTCTTAATGTACTGCTGCTACTTTTTACTTGTAGATTGTGCCAGAGCAGCAGTAGACACATTTTGTGCCAGCGGAAATCCTGAACTGAATAGGGTGGCAGGCAAGCTGTTTCATGCACAAAACTCCTCCTTACTTTCAGGAAATAGAAAGTAAATGTTGTAGGAGGCAAAGTGAAACTTCAGTTGGTAAAACTGATTCCGAGTTGAAACCACATGTCTGCAGAAGTGTACAGGACGCACATGGCTGTAGTCCCTGATGTGCTCTGAACAGCTACAATGAAGAATCATCAAAAAACAATGAATATCAAAATTCTCTATTGTGCTAATGGTGTCCAGGGACCTTATGTGCAGGTAGATCCTCTCCTTCTGTAGAGTTTTGCATCAGAATTGTATTGTTTGCTGTGGTTTTTATAAAATGATTTCAATTCATGCATAAAGTACCAAGTAGATTAGCGCCACAGAAAATCTTTATTGTCTCAACATGCTATTCATTAAACAGTTTTATTGGTCAGCATAGATATTGGGAAACTGGACAAATTTCCATAATTTAATGTTTCTTTCTTAATATCCTTTTTTTTTTGTTTATAGTTTGCTATAGATGTCAGTGACAGATGTCAGTGACAATGTTTCCACTTTTAACCAATACATGCATGCAATGTGCTAGGAGTCTCCATATACTGTATATCGCTTTCTTTCAAATTAGACATCATGTCAAATTATTTGCTGACTTATGTCATGAATCTTTTTAATTTCTGCATCTTCGTTTGAAGAGATCTCTATCATAGTAGCTTGCATAATTTTACAACTATTAACATAGTTATACTGTAGCTTGAGGGCTGATTTTTCTGTGTAGGGACAGGCTTAATTGCAAGTTTTGTTTTAAGAATACCCTGATATTATATTAAGCTGTTAAATGTGTATAAAAACCCAGATTCAGTCTGAGGAAAAATACTGGTAATTTTTGGTTTTGAAGAATTATGGTATCTTACATTCGGTTTAGGCAGCATCTTAGCTCTGCCATTCTTATTTTATGTTAATCTAACCATTCTGTTTTCATAGATTATCACTGTAGAAGAAGCAAAGCGTCGGAAAAGTACGTGCAGTTATGAAGATAATGATGATCAGGCTCCTGAGGAATTTCTACCTGATTTAAAGCAGAAAAGCCATCTGCTGGATGAAATACATATTGAAAAGGTAAATTATAATACTGTACTTCTAAATTGAGACTATTTGGTATTTAAGTGACACTAAGCTCAGTTTAAATCTTAAAAATGCCTACCCAACCTTAACCCCTTCATTGCCAGCGACGCAACCCGCAATCTGTAGTGCCAAGGTTGCCTGCCCTGCCGTAACCCCTTCACTGCCAGCGGCCTAATGCACATGACCCTGGCAGTAGGTTATAGCCGCCGGGAGTCTGTTTACCTGTGTAAAGCTGACTGTCGGGTATACAATGGAAGCGATTCTGGCATCTGAAAAGCTGTCGGATCGCTTCCAGAGGCTTGTAAACGGAGTACACCCGATTTCAAGCCGCATGCACTAAAGTGAGAGCAATAATTCTATGGCCAATATTCACGGATACCTCTAAACTGATGTCTTGTACAAGCTTTTAAAGTGTCACCTATGGACAATTTTGGGTACCAACTGTTGTTTTTTGCTGTTTTACGGCCGAATGCAATTTTTAAGCTTGGCATGTTGGGTATCTATTTACTCAGCACAACCTCTTCTTCTTTTATATTTTACAGAAAAATTAGATTTTTTTTTTTTTTTACTTTTGGGTTTGATAAAGAGTTGCACTAATATCAGGCAACAGGAATTTGCAGTTGCCACCATTTTATTCTACAGGGTCTTTGCTTTCAGGAAATATATAACTTTGGGGGGTTTAAGTAATTTTCAGTCATAAATTGTGGAATATAACGTGTGAAAAAAATGGCTCTGGCAGCAAAAGGATTAAAAAAAAACATGATTTGTATGCTCAATACAAACAGCAGACTGTAAGGTTTGCATTGGAATGCGAGTGAATGTTTGTACACGTTTAGTCACATATGTAGCGTGTGAACCAGTCATACCCTCACGGCTTATCTCTGTTTTTATTTTATTTAGTAAATTAGCCTCGCTGAGTAAGTCAATGTGAGACAAATTGTCAAGGACATGAATTTCAGGGGGTTGGGGTGAGAAAGACGGGTGACATTTAAATATGACATTACATCCAGTATATTTTAGGCATAAAATATCAAAGTGCAGAACACTTTAATTTTTTTCAATGCAGGCATTTCAAAAGACAAACATGGGTACAAAAGACAGTTCTAAACCTAGGAAGCCTGACTGAGGGAGCTAAGGGTTGTCTGCTCGACCACAACTTGTTAGTAATATTGTGATGTGCCTGTACCGTGTGCGATAACAGTCCACCTCCGTGCCAGATTATTTAATATTTTTTTCAGATTAATTTCCCATATGCATCATCTTCATTATTTAAAAAAAATGCATTTGCTGTTTGGAGTACAGAAGGGAGTGCCATGTTTACCAACTTATTCTCCTTGCCATAATGAAAGGATGCAGAAACATAAATATTGTGGTTGCTTTGTGGTTATACATCATAATATTGAAAATAATGCACATTCATAGTCAGAGCGCATGTGCATTTTACTTCTATATGATGTGTAAACACCATGCAGAATAAACCTTAATGTGACTTCTGTCCACTGTAACTCTATGGTAGATACAATGACTTCATTATCGCATACTTCTGAAGCCTAATTCAGTCATTCTTTTTATTTTGAAAATGTTGTGTGTGTAAAATAGATATAGATATATCTATCTATATCTATCTATATATAATGTGTATATATATATATATTTTAAACTGTAACTGAGAACAAAGCGTTGGGTTTTGTTTTGGATGAAGTAAGGGGTTATCCCCCTGCTATCTGTCTCCCATTAAAGAGATTTCCCATCACTTCCTGTCTGATAGCCACAACAAGATGGAAAATCCCCAGTGGTCAGCAAGGTCACCAGAACTAGTGTCCCCATTGGAAGATTTCCCATCTATTTCTGTTCTGGGAACAGTCCTAAATTTGGGATTTCCATTCTTTCTCACTTTGTGATAATGGTCACCAGGATAAGCAGAGAAGGTGAATCTCCCTAATAGGGACATGGAAATAAAATTCCCTCTCCCAAAAAAATCTTTGGGCTTCAATCACACTTAATGCTAATCGTATCTTATATTTTTATATGGATCATTCAATCTAAATAGCAAACTAAAAGCTAAGCGGAAAACAAAAACCTTTTACTTCTGTTTTCTTCCCTTTTAGGGCCGATTTACACCAGATGCGTTGGGCAATTTGCCTTGTCACGGACGGGATCGGTTCACACCACCACGTTGCGATGGGAACATGGTGGTGTGTGCTGAAAAAAGTACAATGCTGGGATCGACGCTTCGGCACTGTCGGGCAACACACTCCAGCCACTGTGCATTTAGCATAGTGGCTGGTGTGAATTGGCACTTAAAGCAGAACTGGGGATTTTTGTATTTTTTAACCCTTGCAGTGGGGCTATCTCTGCACTGCAAGGGTATAGTGCTAGTTTTTGTCTAGGTTCAGAAATGACAGTTACACTCATCTGATCTCTGAGCCGGCCGGCTCTTAAGCCAGTCTCTTTCGCCTTGCTCCCTACCCCCGATGCTACAGCAGTCTGAGGACCTGTGAGTTAACATGCCCTATACACTGTATATAGGATGTGATGATGCTGAGGGACATACTACTGCAGCAGTGGAGGGGGAGATCGAGGAGTGCTGCTTCGATATAACCAAAGGATTGGGGAAAAAATGTTTAACTATAAAACTTGTATTTGTAGAGTCGTAGGAGATATTTTTAAAGTAGTAGCATATAGGTTAAAACAGAACACCAGCCTTCCTTCCGTCTTGCACAGTTGTACAAGCTTCCCCCCTGCACTGCAACTGCTTAGTCTGATTTCACTGCACACTGTAAACCTGTCGACCAGGCTAGAAAAAGTGAGTGCCTGTCTCAGTTCTTGGTTGAATGATGCCCAGCATCATTTAGCGCTTTTATTCCCAGCCTTGCTATCCCTAGCCCACCCCTTTTTATTCATTAGATTCCAATTATTTAAATCATGGAGGCTCAGCATCACATGTGGGTCTTACCTAGTGTGGTCTGCATGCAAATGCAACCTACCTGGGAATACCTTCTGCCCCACCCTGACATTCACCCATCAAGGTATTTTGATATTTACATAACTCCTCCCAAAAACCAGCCCACTGCGTGCATCAGGGCTGAGGGCTCTTGAGAGGAGTGCTGTGGCAGGGTGCAATGATGGTTTCAGGAAGCTATGTACAGCACCACCAGCCATGATCTGACTGCACTGCACTAAGAAGCACAAACACCCAGTGATGATGTCACTGGGTCTGAAATAAGGTATGTAATGAAAACAAAAATGTATTATTCAATGTAATTTGCTTGTTCATGAGGGGCGAGTAGGTAGGAACCAGGGAAAGCAAAATATAAGACAAATAAAAAATTGCCCAATTGTTTGTAGAACAGACTGCTGGACTGGAGCCCATTTCTAAAGCCTAGACTAAAACAAAATGCAGTTCTGCCTCATGGCAAGTCAAAAGCAGGTTGAAGCTGAAATTTAATTTATTGCTGACGGCAACAGAACAGCGCTAACTTTCTCCGTAGTGCTCATCTTTTAAAGAAAGGCAAGCAAACAAGATAAACTGTGTCATGTTCCCTGTTATAAATAAACATTTCTTGATAAAAGGGCACCATCAAATATTTAGAGTTTCCGCATTCGGTTCATCAAGACTGCAGACATGTCTTTTGTCACCCGCATGGACCAATGATAATTTATAGTCTTTTCTGCCTATCTTTTTGCAGCTGGCCCAACGTCTTCCTGCCAGAGTTCAGGGATATCCTTGGCATCTGGTGTACAGCACACAGCTGCATGGAACCAGCCTGAAGACTTTGTACAGGAACCTTGTTTCTTTGGACAGCCCAGTGCTTCTGATAGTTAAGATATGGATAACCAGGTAAGGAATGAAATGTCTTGTATTTGCTTTATTGTTCAGTTGCTAGTCTGTGGCTGTCATGGTGCTCTGCAGCACTCATAGGACTGCCGTTGCTTTTCTGCAGCTACCTGCCAGCTTTAACTTTCACAAGGGATGTAAATCTAATTTAGGGGTGGGCAATTCATTTTCTTGGGGTTCTACCTGGGAAACTGGGATGGCTGTTGAGGGCCGCACTGATTAACGCATGGCACCGTGCAATGCACCGACCATGTGTTACAACACGGCAGGGCCTCTTGGCTGCAATGCAATTGACCAAGCCGCAACACTGGGTACCGTACCAGTGCTGACCTGTGGGAGGGGCCCAGCAGGCCCCACCTGCTACAGGCTGCCTGCAATAAACTACAGGATGGGGCGTATACTAGACCAGTCTTTCTGCTAGGTATGCACCGATAGCGGTTTTTCTGTATCGCATGTGAGTACTGATATTTATTTCGGTACTCGCTGATGCAGAGTACCAACACTGGTACTTCTGGTAGCGTGTCATTACCCACCGCCCAGCTTCTTGAGTTCCCGGGAAGCTGGCTTCATGCGGTTTGGCCGCCTCGATGCTGATTGGCCAGGAAGCCGGCATCCCAGACAATATGTATTGAGCTGGCTTCCCGGCCAGTCTGGAAGCCAGGTGGCGGGTCATTACCCGCTGCCAGGCTTTCTGATTGGCCAGGAAACCGGCTCCATGCTGTGAAGACGGCTTCCCAGCCAATCAGCATGGAGCCGGCTTCCTGGCCAATCGGGAAGCCGGGCCACGAAACATTGCTTGGCTTTCTGATTGGCCAGGAAGCCGGCTACATGTTCCCCAGCAGCACTGCAGGTCAAAGGAAATCTCCCTCTGACGAGAAGTTCTGGTGTCGGGGGTAAGTATCGGAGCATTTGGGCGAATACAAGTACTCGCCCAAATACTTGGTAGCGGCACCTACTTTCTGCTTAAGGAGAGAGAGCAACAGTGACTGGTCTTTATTAGAGAAACTCCTGCACAGAGGCAAAGCTTTACACTGGATGCTGCCAGATCGTGTGTGTGGTAAGTTTGACAGGAGGGATATGCAAACCTTTCAATCCTGTGCAAATAATACTCGGCATGTGATGAAAGTAAGTAAACAGATGTCAAAACTGCATGTCAAATGATCAGTAGATCCAGGTCAGTTAACCCCACCTCTTGAGCATTACTGTTGGTCAGTGAGACCATCTATCACATTAAATCTTTTAACTGTTAAAATGTCCCAGGTGTGTGGCACATACAGCTTCACAATTTAAAAAAGAAAGAGGATTAGTAAATATATGGTTTATATGCACTTTTTACAGTTTATGGCCTTTTTTATAATAAAACAGGGGCTGGAACCTAAATAAATTATTGCTGCTGTGCTGGCATCCCCTTCATATTTAGGAGGCCCAAAAAAAGGACATTTCCATCCAGTTCATGCATCATTAACTCTTAAAACACCACATGCTCATCCTGCTGGTTTGAGACATTTGAATTTCCCAAGTGAAGGAACAGGATGTTACCAGCACGCAAAGATATATGTCAAAGTTAACGTCCTTTTATTGAGGCATATTGTCACATGCATAGAGTACCCAGGCACCATGTACATGCAGTCCTGTGTCCTTCCACAGACCAATTTTTGACCCACAGTTTTGACTGTATGTGTGGGGAGAATGTTATGTGAGCCAACAGGAGGAGAACATTGCTTAAAATTTGTATTGAAGATTTGTTTATGTGCTTTATCACATGAACTGTTTACAGACCACACTGACCTAACGTTGATAACTGAGAATCCATTTGCAAACAACACATTTAATGGTCCCGAGGAAGCAGATTCATGAGGTTGCGAAGACCTCCGTGTTATAATAAATGGGTGTGTAGGGCTTTACCTAAGGTATTCACCGCCTGAGGCAAGGTCATTCTGGGGTGGGGTGCTGGCAAGGATTGGTCACGGAGTCACTTGTCATTGGAGGGGGTTTGTTGGATACTGGACTGCACTGCTTTGTCTGACGTTTTGCTCAGCTCACTGATGTCACTGGTTGCCAGGAGCACAGTGGGATGCTTTGTCTCCCTCAGCTCCTGGCAACCGGTGTAGACAGTGAGCTGGGCGGGAAGCTGCACAGTGTCACAGGTTGCGAAGAGCTCTTGGCTACCTGGTACGTTGTGGCTGCCCCATCGTCACCACCACGAGGACACCCCCCAGTAAGATGCCATCTGAGGCAACTCTTCAGACTGTCTCGTTATAGGGACCGCCCTGGTGATGTGCCATTTTGCTAATCAGCATCTAGTCTCACATAAAACAAATTAATTATGTTATATTCATTATAACAGATAATCTTATAATTTGTATGTGTGTGTGTTATTTAACAGTTTAATGTTGCATGCACAGGTCAGAAAGTCCCACTTACATTTTTCTGCTTCCTCTGTTTTTGTTGAAAAGTACCAAATACGGGAATGCAGGGAGCATTTTTCACGGTTTAATACATCTGTTAAAACATGCCCTTGTGTGAATTGGAAAGTGGAAAAACAGGTTGCTGCTTACTGTAAGCAACCTCCTTTGCTTTAATAGGCTTGTCTTGCTTTTCCTCTTGTGTTCTCTTTTGTTTGTGTGTGTGTGTGTGTGTGTGTGTGTGTGTGTGTGTGTGTGTGTGTATAGTGATGCAGTTTGCCTTCAGGACAGATAACTGCAGTTTTACCCTTTATTCCAGGCAAAAGGGGAATAGAAGTTAAGGTATAACTGAAGATGTCTGTAGGACAGTCCAAATCCATTTACAAATTGTACAGCGATGTAGGGCCCGTTCACACCAGTATGTTTTAGATGCAATGCAGTAAAAGAACATCCTGCTTGCAGCATCTTTTGATGCCGTTTCATCAATATGCGGTTTTATCATGTAAAATGAAATGCGCATACAAAGCACTGCACCTAAATTAGAAATGTGTGTACTAGGGATGTCCAGATACCAGTTCAGATACCAGTGCCGATACTTGGCATTTTCATGAGAACTACCAGGGTTGCAGCGGTGACGGGGCTCTGGCGCTCCACCACTGTCCTGCTATCATTAGTCTGTATTGTTTTAGAAAACCTGTCGCATGACAATAAACAAAAATGTATCAGTACTTGTATCTGTGAGTACTTGGGCAAGTATCAGTACTTGTACTTGTAAAAATGTTGTTGGTGCATCCCTTATATATATTTATAAAAAAATAATGCATTAAAAAAGATGTACAAATCCCAGGAGCCCGTATGCTCCTTACAAATGACGGCTGCCTCCTAACTTTTGAATTTTACTCCGGTTTAGTCCTGGAGCTGGAAAAGTATGTGTACTTGGTATCTGAACATCCCTAGTGTGTACCCACCATTAAGCTACTGTCCTTTTTGACCTAAAAGAAATGGAAAAATATATATTTTTTTCCAGGTTTTTGGAGCCTATGCAACACATCCATTCAGACTCTGCGATCATTACTATGGCACAGGCGAGACGTTTCTCTTCACATTTAGTCCTGATTTCAAGGTAAATAATTGACTTAAACATTGCATCATGTGTCTCTAAACTGTAGAAATATAATACTGAACTTAAACCTTCTTGTTAGGTTTGTGGTGCGAGCCCGAGATGACGAGGAGGACCTCCCTTGCAACCCCGTCTGATGACCACTGGGGTTGAGAACAGTAGGGTTCAGGCAGGGGATGCACGAGTGCCAGATGCGGAACTCTAGGTCACGAGGTCTACTTGGTGACCTAGCAGAGTAGCCGCCGTGCTTTAAGGGTAAGGCAGAAGGAAGCGTAAGAGACTAGCCGGGTCAGTAGCGTGCGGGCAATATGGTACAAGGGGTTAAACCAGAGCGAAATCCAGAGACAAGCCGGGTCGGTAACAAGCGAATGGTAAAGCCCCTCTTGCTGGAACATCCCTAACTTGAGAGAAGGTGGTGAAATCCTGGATGCCTGCTGAATACAGGAAGCGAGGTCTGGTTGCAACAAAAGAAACTGTTTCGCCGGCAGGATGGTATCTGGTCTTTCCGGAATATCTGGTGCTGTGTAGATGCGAGATAATGCGTCAGCTTTCCCGTTACGGGATCCAGGGCGAAAGGTGATGTGGAGGTGGAACCGTGAGAAAAACAGGGCCCAACTAAAATGCAGAGAGCTATTCAAGTAGTCAGGAAGGCAAGTAACTGCCAGTGGGCCTTAGTACAAGATTAAACCGGGGCGTCTCGTGTCTAATACACACTGTTTTTTCAGGCACTTGGTAGAAATGCGTAAAATGTTACATTTTATATTTCCTATAAGCACACTAGAGGCTTATTCAGCAATTGGCTTTATTGTTTGTAGAATGTCATGTGAACACACAACTGATTAATAAAAGTGAGTAGCATAGATGTAATTGCACCTTCCACACCCCATTTAGTTCTACCCTAATGAGTAGTGTTTGTAGCATTTGCTTCTAGCCCGCTTTTCATGTAAATAAAATTGTCTGAACAGTCTTAAGGTGCCCATACACTGCACGATTCTCATACGAGAATTGCGGGAAATCCGTGATCATACGAGAATTGTGCAGTGTATGGAAGGCGTGCGACTGTTCCTACTGTACGGTCGCACGACTTTTGTATTTCGAGTATGTTGGAAAACCAGCAGAGAATCGTACGATTTTCGGCTGGTTTTTAACATGATCGAGAGACAACTGCCCGTTCAGCATTGCAGTCATTGGAAGCCCTCCCCTCAGGGGGGCGGGCTTGCGATGATCGCAGGTACGATCTGCCTGTCCAAGATGGGCAGATCGTACGTTTTTTTAAGTACTTTACAACCCTTGCAAGACAAAAGTCTTGCAAGGGTTGTAAAGTGTATGGCCACCTTTAGAGATTGTGTTACTGACATCACAAAATTATAGGTAAAAGCACATAAAAATTAAGTAATGCTTACTTGCACAGGTGTTCCTTTTCATATAATATTTTATTCGCTTATAATGTGCCTTTTTTAATTTGTTACAAAATGTTAACTTCTTCAGGAAGAGGCACTTCCCTAGCACAACTCCCTCCCTCTTGCAGGTCCATAGCCTTCACCACATCTGGCAGTAATTACTGTCTGTGCTGGCCAAGCTTCTCTGCCCCTTCCCTTGCCTCCCTAAATAGTCCTTTTTGTAACTACCAGGGGAGGAGCAAATGAGGATACCATAGAGCAGGGGTAGGCAACCTCGGCATTCCAGTTGTGGGGAAACTAAAACTCCCTTCATGCATCTGCCTGTGGCAGTCATGCCTGTGGCTGTCAGTCTTGTAATGCCTCATGGAACAGCTGCATTGCCAAGATTGCCTACCCCTGCTATAGAGTTTCACTTGAGTGATGGCTCTGAGTCTTCTGGGGTTGCTGATATCCCTTCCAAAATGGCAGCACCCAGCAGCAGTCTCGGAGCTATTGAGGAGTAAACAAAAATGCCTAAAATACAAACCAGCAGAGAATCGTACGATTTTCGGCTGGTTTTTAACATGATCGAGAGACAACTGCCCGTTCAGCATTGCAGTCATTGGAAGCCCTCCCCTCAGGGGGGCGGGCTTGCGATGATCGCAGGTACGATCTGCCTGTCCAAGATGGGCAGATCGTACGTTTTTTTAAGTACTTTACAACCCTTGCAAGACAAAAGTCTTGCAAGGGTTGTAAAGTGTATGGCCACCTTTAGAGATTGTGTTACTGACATCACAAAATTATAGGTAAAAGCACATAAAAATTAAGTAATGCTTACTTGCACAGGTGTTCCTTTTCATATAATATTTTATTCGCTTATAATGTGCCTTTTTTAATTTGTTACAAAATGTTAACTTCTTCAGGAAGAGGCACTTCCCTAGCACAACTCCCTCCCTCTTGCAGGTCCATAGCCTTCACCACATCTGGCAGTAATTACTGTCTGTGCTGGCCAAGCTTCTCTGCCCCTTCCCTTGCCTCCCTAAATAGTCCTTTTTGTAACTACCAGGGGAGGAGCAAATGAGGATACCATAGAGCAGGGGTAGGCAACCTCGGCATTCCAGTTGTGGGGAAACTAAAACTCCCTTCATGCATCTGCCTGTGGCAGTCATGCCTGTGGCTGTCAGTCTTGTAATGCCTCATGGAACAGCTGCATTGCCAAGATTGCCTACCCCTGCTATAGAGTTTCACTTGAGTGATGGCTCTGAGTCTTCTGGGGTTGCTGATATCCCTTCCAAAATGGCAGCACCCAGCAGCAGTCTCGGAGCTATTGAGGAGTAAACAAAAATGCCTAAAATACATTAAATACATATATGCTATTATGAAAAGATTGTTGTTGAAATGAATGGTCTGGCAACAGGTTCTCTAAGTCCCCATTCACATGGGGCCTTCTGGGATTTCTGTGGCAAGAACCTATGGATTCCTGCAGCAGGAATGCCAGGTGACACGTTCAGATGTGGCTGCTGCACCCATTCAAGTAAATGACAGGTACATAGTGGCTGCAGCTCTCAGAAGCAGTCCTTACATGCAGTCTGTGCCCAGCGACCGTCATCAGCTGGATACAGAGTGCAGCCTGAGATATTTACCCCAAATATATAACCGTCGAAGTCTGCTGAGTAAAATGATATCACACAAGTGTTTTTTTATGTAACATTACAAAATGGCAAAACTCAAAGTGAATGTTTGCAATGTACTATAGGAGGGCTTCATTCCCCTTTCAAGGCTACATTGCAATGCACAGAGGAAAAAATAATTGGTTTGCGTAAATTGTAAGCATAACCTTCAGATAAAATCAAGTCAGATTGGCGAGGACACAAATTCGCAGACTTTTCTAAATGGAAAAAAAAAAATGATGTTGCATTTGCTGAAGTGAGCATTTTGATGCTAAAGCAGTGGATGCAAATGTCATTTAGATTATGAGATGTCATTGTTGGGAAGTTGGAAAAAAATCTGTAGAGGGAATTTTTTAATGTATTATATGTAAAAAGTTATTTTATCTGGTCAGTGGAGACCTGATCTAGCTCTCAATGCAGCTGTGCTATAACATATCACTCCTAATGGCAATCTATTGCCTCTTTGAATCAGACCGGAATAGATCACTATAGGAGCGATCTGCTGCTGCAGGGACTGGCAGTTTTGCCCCTGCCTCCTTTACTAGTAGGAAGTACTTCACTTCACTTCAAAAGTGCAGAAGTGGTATGATCTAGCATGCTAGTGGACAGTTGAGGAGCAGCAGGAGACTGATAAGGTCATTCCTCTGCTCACTTTCAGCTTGTTCCTCCAGCACATTTGCATGCAGCTCACATGATTAGCTCCTAGTACTGGCCCTTCCTGTCTTAGTGTGAAAGCTAGCTGCATTTAAAAATATGTTTAGTGATTGTTGAATACATAACTGCTAGATTTTGATTAGGTTTTTTTAATCTCTTCCCATATTTTAGGGAATCTGTGTTTTTGTTTATGAAGTAAAAAATTAGTGTAAAAAGAACTATGGCCTCCCAATTAAAAACTAAACACGTTTATTTTAAGAGCATCTGCACTTTTCTCTTGGTCCCCCTGCAAACTCCAACAAATAACTGTTAAGCCGGCCTAAGAAGTCCATTGTCCATTGTTTCCAGATCATCCAGCTTCCTGTGATGGTCTGGAAACAATGCTACACTGCTCCTGAATTACAAGCAGAGTTGCCGTTCTCATGTAAGCTGTGTCTGCTTGTACTATAGTGAGTTGAAAAAATGTTTTAGGAGGCACGGATATCAGCTTTGTCGCTGCCGATTCAATTAGTTAATCAATAGAGATGAGCCTGGGCTTGGTGCGAGCACAGTTCACGCCAATTCCGCCCCAGGTGGAGGCAGTTGCGACAATCAGTGGGGGCTTTTTCTCCGGGGCATCTGCATTCCCCACCCCTTTGTGATGTATAGTTTATAGGGTCAGGAGGAGGGGGCGGCAGTCATAGTTTTAAATGGGCTTGGCTGACCTGAGGTGACCTGATATATTCACCAAGCCCAAGCTCATCGCTACTTGTGAATCGGCACCTGGCTACACCTAATCCTGCCCACTTCTTTCTGGATTGACAGCACTGAAGGAGGATTTGGCTCAGTCAGGTTAAGTAAAGAAAGTTTGTGTTTACTATATGATGCTTGTTCATCACATAGTAACTGGATTTGGTAATTGTTTAGACTGTCTTTTAAGAATCTTTAGGTGTACTTGAATTTATATGCCTTCTCTTTGCTCCCCTGATGTTCAGTTTGCCTCGAAGAAAGCTGAAAGCTCCAAGTTGTGAAAGCTTGGGAAACTTTCTGCACTGCCACTTGACAGTACCAGGGGCCTGGAGAGTGGCTTCTCAGGCACCCAGCACTAAACTGTTAGGCCCCATTCACACGTAGCGATTTATCGCATTTTTGCCGTGCGATATCGCGAGAAGTCGGCGGCTAATGATATTCAATGGAGCTGTCTTAGCTCCATGTCGCAAGTCGCTTCTACAGGACCCTTTTTTCGGCGGATTTTGCTTTTTTCTAATGGAGCCCGTCGGAGAAGGTCGCGCTACCGTCGCTGGATCGTCTTCCCGAAAGTCGCGCTATCCTGGCCACTGCAAAAGGTATGTCGCTACGTGTGAATGGGGCCTAAAAGAAAGTTGAGAGAGGAACATGTGCCCCATACCCAGAAATAATGGGTAATGGATAAGCATCAGAATGGACAAGTAGGTGGGAAAAAGTGAAGGTGAAGTAATACAGCGTAGGCAGCAATAAAGTGACCCTGTTGTTTTTCCCTGCATGGCTGTAGAATCTATGGCACACACTTTGGTGACACCTAGTGGCCTTTTAAAAAAAAATAAAAAAATTTAAGCATCGTGATGAAAGTTTTCTGTTTGCATTTTTGCCCAGCTAATTGACAACTATTTCTAGCTGTCATCGGTTTCAGACAGTGGCGTAATAATCGTCATAGCGACCCAGGTGGCCGTTATGGGGCCCGGCCAGGGCATCCCACTGATGCCGTGTGGGTCGCTATGGCGTCTCGGGTGCTGGCTGTCACTGACATAGCTCAGCTGTGTCTGTGACAGCCAGCAGATGCGGCAGAATAGGCCGCTTACACCGGCGTTTGCAGTAAAGGAGGCGGGGCCCGCCTAACAGCAAGCCCGCCTTCTCTCACATAACTGGCCAGCGATCTAAGAGCAGGTGGGGCCCGTTGATAAAAGGAGGCGGAGCCCGGGACGAAAGAGGAGGCAGGGGCCCGGCGGCGACCACGGAGGTGGACAACGCTGACAGGTAAGAGGCGTGCAGCCCAACTGAGACCTTGCAGAGCAGACCATAGAGAGTCTATGGTGGGCTCTGCAAGTGGCATAACTAGCAATCACGGGGCCCCATACAAAATTTTGCTATAGGGCCCTGTGATTTCTAGTTACGCCCCTGGTTTCAGACTATAGTGTTGAAAACAGCTTTGTTCTAAATCAATTATATTTCAAGTTAATTGTGTTTTAATAAGTTCACAAAGCAGAGACCTACCTACAATTGCTGGTATGTTTAATTGTGTAAAAATGTTATTGTACATTTCCTTTTAACAGTTAAACATCTTGTTTTAATTCATAGAAGCAACCTTATGGACCAGTGAATTATTTATTGAAGTCATGCATGACATTACAATCTTACCTGCAGTAATTAGTCCATCTTGGACTGGTTTTACTTTGGCAGAGTGAATTTTGTTTGGCGTCTGTGGTGACTTAAAAACGAATATTTAAGAACTCCGTACTGAAAAAAATCTAATGTGTATTTCTGTATCAGCTGACATCCCAGTTTATTTTATATGCATCTCATTTATTGCATTGCAGGCATTCAAGTGGAGTGGAGACAATTCGTATTTTATTAATGGAGACATTGCTTCTCTGGCACTGGGAGGTGGAGGGTTAGTATTCACATTTTTGGTTTTTTTATTGCGTTTGTGCGTGTGTTTTTAGAGATGTTTTATCAAATCATTTATCCATTATTAGCATAAAATGTTGCATTTATTTCCCATAACGTCTTCCAGGACAGCATCACGAGATGGAATCTCCTCCCCCACACACAGGACAGGTACTGTCTATAATAAACAATAACCGGGAACAGCACTTTTAAGATTCCTAAAAGTTTCCAATAAAGTAGAATTTTAGGTAAACCGCTAAATGCACAGTGGAAACTCACATAAGTGGACAGCTTTAAGTGCACAAGGTTTCCACTTTCCACTTCCAAAAGCCTTGTGATTTACACACCTCTGCTAGACAGGCAGATGGCACCTTGGTACATTTTTTCTTCCAGTGCCACCTTTCTGCCTCCATCCTATTTATTAGCCATTAAATCAGCATTACTTTTCTGCTGATTTTAAGTTTCCCGTTAGGCAAAGAACAAAGTTCCCCTTTCTTTATCCTTTTATCTGACTGTGTAATGTGTTAGAAGTGTAATCCACAAAACTGGCTGCACAAACTTTACACATACTCTTGCAGGTAAAACTAGTAAACACAACATATGAAATAGTTTGTATTAAAAAAAGGACTTGCTGGGGGCTTCAAACTCTAACTTCCTTTAAAAAAAAACTAGACACGCCTATCCTATCCAGTGAAAGCAGGTGTTATCTTAGTCTCAGTCTGGATTGCAGTTTCCGTGAAGCTGCACATCTAACCAGCCATTTGAGGTTCTTGAAACTTTGGTTGCTAGCTAAATAAGCACGCTGGCAGCCTTGACAGTTGGCAGGCCTTAAAAGTAACTGTTTTGGGAGACATCAAATTGGTGGGTCAAGTTCCTCTTTAGGGCTGGTTTCCACCAGCCTGCATGTCTGCCGCACTGTCCCGTGCCTGGAATGCAAGGGATCGTGTACATAAAGTCTCCTTGCGTTCTGGGGCGGGAGGGGGTGTGGCAGTGCCATTTAAGTCAATGGCACTGTAGACACGGCCCCCCGCCCACAGCACCATCAGCCGTACAGGAACGTGGTAATAAAATGCCCTGCGTTCCAGTGTGGTGCGATTGCATAAAAATAGTGCATTCACGTGACATTGTGGTAGATGAGAAAGGCTGGTGGAAACAAGCCCTTAAACTGTATGTAAAGGCAAACCTTCTTTTTTTAAAAATATATTGGACCGTGTGTGGAATGGTTCGACCCTCTGCCAAATTTTATTGCCATCAGTTTCCCCGCTATGTAGATTCAGCCCTGTATATGTCACAGAGACAAAAAGTAGGTCAAAATCCTTAAAGCGGACCTTCACATATAAATACAAATTTGCAGTAGTGGGTAGACTGTGAGTGATCAGGAAGTGACAGCTGACTCCCAAATGCAAGGTTGCATTTTAAATGTTTAGAATTCCAGCAAAAAATGGGTGTTAGCAGGACAGCGTTGGACTTCATAGGCTGGTAAGCGTGTGTGTTTTTTTTTTTTTTTTTTTTTTTTTTTTTTTGGGTTTTTTTTTTTTTTTTTTTTGGGGTCGTTTTT